ACATGAAATGAAACTGTATCAAGAGTCTCCAGTGGAGTAGGTACGGATACATCAAGTCCATGAGCAACAGGTTTTATAGCAGACTGAAGGTTCGGATAGAACTTTTTTTTTTTTTCGAGTGTTGTGGCCTTGCATGTTACATGAGCAAAATAGCAGTCATCTCCACAATTTCAAGACTCACGCCAGACCATTGGAATTCCAAAAGGCAGACTTTTTCTTATCTTTAGTCTATTGTCTCAACTCTTCAACACAAATGGTGCAAACTTTGTGCGGAGCCCATGATTTATCTTGGTCCTAAAGTTTTATTCCAAAATACGTGTAATACGCTTTTTTGACGAATTCTGTAAGGTTTTGCCTTTGTTTCTTTACAACAAATTTATCACAAATATAACAGAATGTGTTTAGGTCATTTACACAACCTCTTGTTGCCATAGCAACGAATAAATAATACTGAAAAGAAAAAATAATGTCAAAGTGCACGCACAAACAAATACTATCCAGAACTGTTAACAGTTTATATACTAGCGGTGTGTTTCTCGTGGGTTGTAGAACAATCGATAAGACTCTCATATCGCGATTGGTCTAGAGAAATCTATAGCTTGTAGTTGTCAACATTTCAGTGAAAATGATTCACTTATGCAAACGTACATATGACGTTTTGTGAAAAATCTGTACGTGATGGAGAAAGATGGATATAATTTTCTAATTCAGCATACAGGAATTACTGTAGAACATGTAAAAATTTCAAGACAATAAAACCAGGCCTGTGTTATCACTCTAATGGTAAAAACAACGTACAAACACGATATTGTTGAGAAATTTGATTAACCATATGCACTTTCGAATCAGCAGAACACTATGAATAGGTCCTTGTTCAAATTTGAAATTTTATTTGTTAGCGTAATCGACAAAGTTTAGCACTAGATACGCACTAAAGAAACCAGAAACCAACAAATCTCGTGCTAAATAATCAATATCTAACACAAAATTAATTCCAAATATGATTAAGAAAAAGATAAAAACAACCACCGTAGTAAAACCGGACATTTACGGAAGCTACATATATTTAAAATTACACTCAACAATAATATTTGAAATGGCACAAAACTATTTTAGAATTACTTTTCAATCAAAATTTTTTTTACATTTATTTATAATGAAAGTTGAATAAAATAACTAAACAATGTTGAATAATGCTTCTTTTTCTAAAGATTATATTATATTGGAAAATCAGGGTAAATTTACAAAACAAAGCATCACATCCTGATATAGAAAAGTGAATGAAACTGCTTCATGCATAAAAGCAGATAAAATGATGCATTTAACAAAATTTAACAATTAAGGATGACAAATTTTTAAACATAAAAATCTAATTAGAAAATATATCTGACCAAAGTACAAAAATAAATCCAAATGATTAAATTGATAATTAAGAAGAAGCCTGCTATTGGACTGCTAATCCCCCAGATCTCTGCTAAAACAGAGTAATACTGGAAGAGCAATCCTAACTCTCAGATCATGTAGGAGGATCTATCTAGTGCACTCTTCTAAGTTACTCAGTTTACATTACGTGAAACACAACTCACTGGTACAATATCTTAATAGAAATAATTTTCACTTTAGAAAACAAGAATTTCCTTAAAATGATAAACATAGACTTATTTTAAGCCTACTATTTTTTTTTTCACATATTTGTTATTTACATTTCATCAGCAAATAACTACATATTTAGAAACAAGAAACACATTTATGAAAAGAAAAACTTAAATGCATTTCCAAAATGTAGTGTCTGGTACACTTTTATTTATCTAAAAACATTAATGTAACTTTTTTCATTAAATTTTCCAATTATTGGAATTATTAAATGTATTATATAAAGTATTAAGTTCTATTTGCTCTCCAATAATGAATTATGGCACAAATCATATATATCTCAGCTTTTACAGGATTTTTCAACAAAACCCTTCTAAAAGCAGTTATCAAGCACTTCAAATGACATATAAGTTTTCAAACTAGATTTCAGTTAAAAAAGTGCTAATAAAAACTTTTTCAAATAAAAACATAATAACATGCACTCATGCTTCCTTACAAGTGTCTTGAATATATGTATCACTAATCATGGATTTGCACTTTGCACACTTTAAAATATGGAATCTAGGTTCTAGAGAGGCACTAATCAAACTATATACAACATTGCTGTAAGGCAGCAGATTCAACACAAAACATGACATCAGTAAAACTGACTTGTATTTAGCAATAACTTTTTTTATAATCTAAAATATGAAGTGTAGTGGTAAACCCAAGGACAAAGTATAAATATTCAACTACTGCACTAAATGTAACCAAAGACTGTAAGTGGTTTAGAACAAATTCATCAAACTAGAAAGGACTAAGTTTACCAAAGAGTCAATACTTATTAAAATTGTGATATAAAAAAATAAAGTTACCTTCACAATAATTCTACAAAACAGTGCCATACAATATGGTGGAGTACTATTTCACTGATGAAGTAATACAACACACAGTTATTTATATACATAACTACAATTTGTAATCACAGTTTCTCAAATGCTGGTTTTAAATCATATCACATCAAACTACTAAGAAAAGATGTAAAACAGTTTCTGGTAGTCCATAAAATTTAACCCCTGCATAAATTAACACTGTTTTTTTCACAACAAATTTCATTACAGCTTCCAACACAAAATAATACATAAATGATAGTTAGAAACCCTATTTGACAATCACTGCATTAAATCAAGAGAATTCTCTTTAATCCATTTTCCACAAAATAAAAATTTTACTGTGTAAACATGCTCTATCATTCACAAATACTTAAATAATAACAATAACACCTACATAGTTAAAACAAAATTTGAAAGAAAACATCTTGAAATTGAAAGAATATTTACAACATATAAACAACTGAAAACATTTAAGACCTTATCAGCTGATATCCAAGACAATCACTTTAATAAAAGAAAATGTGAAAGAGATAAAATTTGCATACCCTAAGAACAAAAAATTGTAAAACTATTAACAAGAGAAAAAGTTTCTAAAACCATAACTATTTTTCGGATTTTCCAAGTTACAAAGGCTTCAATAGTTATCAACGTTTTCACAAATTAATACAAGAAAAGCATTCACAGTTCGGTAGTGATCACAGTACGACGTTGGACCCTCTCACCCTCTCTGCGTGTCACATCATCAGTACTGGATACATGCCAGGGTGAAAGCACACTAGAGTTAGAGCTTGGTGAAGTTTGTTTCAGCAATGCTGAATTGTGAAAGCTGGCAGATGTCAGGGGTTTAGTCACAGGGCTTGATTCAGCAAAGGATGTCTCCTGTCAAAAGATGTTTTTACAAAATACATATACTGATGTGCACTAAAATTCAAAGACATGAAAGCAAAGTACAATTGGTAGAAGTTATTCTTTTGACATTCAGTAATAAACCATTGTACATAAACATGAAGTTCATTCTTATTGTAGTTATATACAATTGTCATGTGGAGTTACCAAATGCATGATGTACTCCAACTTTTACACACAAAAATGCTGAGGATACCAATCATATCAATTTGTATATTACTACTTTAAAATAATACTGGAAACCTTAAGTCTTGCTGAAGTTTGTTAATGTTACTTTTTTAAGCAAATAGAAAACTAATCACAAATTATACTGATAAATCTAGGATGCTAGATAGTTTAAAAAAAATCAAAAATCAATCAAATTTAACTGGTATTGTAGAGAACATTAAACTACCATGTTTTTTGAAAATTAGTAGTAAAATAAAACTGTTCAAAAAATTCATTTAAGAGTCGTCAATAAACCATTTAATAAAATTATTTCTTTTTTCAAAAAATTTCTTTGGCACATGTGTATTGTTCAATCTTAAAAACTAACATTTTTGAAAAAACAATGATTATTTTATACACAATTCAAGCAAAATGAGATTGTATCCAGTCGCCAAATTACTAAAATAATAACTTACTGTACAAGATTAAAAAAAGTGGTAAAAAATCCCGATGAAACAGAAAAACAATCTCATACACTACATGTTTCGGCATATATTATGCAACAACCTCGTCATGGTAATCAAAGGGTTAAGAGGGCTCAAAGTTTGAAAGAAGTTAGATATTTAATTCATATTTTACATTACTTATACATACAATTAGTAATTTTTGGAGCTAGTTTTAGCACATGAAAAAAAAATTAAGTCATCAGCATACAGAGACAGGAGAATTGGCAATATTAGTGACCAATTTCATAGTAAGCATTCACATGACCTCAATGACACACATAGAAAACATCCAATTTGTTTACACCAATTTCAGTTAGCTTGGGTCAACATAATTTAAATGCAAACGTTTATGTTTTATCCAGAGATGCTGTTGTTTATGAAAAAAGGTTTCTGCATATGCAAAATAAGATTATAAAAAAATAAATTTATTTTACCATTTTTGACTACTCTAAGACAATTCCATGTAGAATGTGACTTTTTTTGAATATTTCAGCTTTTTCAGTATTATTTCTGAAAGAAAATTAGTCCACTACTGAAAACAAAGTAAAAAGAAATACAGGAACTTCTTCATGACTTATCATATTTCTAAATCTGCAGTTTGAATTCATGAGTATTTAAAAGTTACCTCTTATATCATATTCACAGCGCTACATTATATTGCTTCTTTATACTCCCATAAATTTATTGACCTTTGCCCATTCTTTTCAGTAGAATACCTTTTTCAGGAATAATAGTATAAAAAGTTAAAATATTCAAATAGAATCATAACCTACATGAAATAATAAGTGGTAAAACATGCTACAATCATTTCTTATAACCATTTTATTTGTATATGTAACAATTTTTTTTTGTACTAAACAGCATCCTCTCTGGACAAAATGTAAACATCCACCATTTTATTTCTATTGACCTCAACGACCTGAAATTGGGAAAAAAATCCAATTAATGTTTCTATATATTTCAATGAAATACTATTTGAATACTGATCCAGTCCTTCTTTATCATTAACTTACGACGATACTCTGATCCAAAAGATAAAATAACATTTTAGATAGGAATGTTCTCAAACATTAAACTTATGTCAAACTCATGTCAGATTGGGTAATTTTTCTTTAAACATCTTAAGAAGCTTTTATTTTACAAACTGGTAAGTTAGAAACATAGCTATATCACATCTAGATACCATGGAGGGTTAATCATACTTTATACAAATGATTTGCATATAATCACATTATGCCATACTCGCTAACTAGATAGGGTTCATAAAATGTATAGATTTATTAATCCTATATATTGAAAACAAATTATTTGCATTGTTTCAAATAGCATTTCTTTTTATCTAAATGAATTTTATGTTATATTACCAAACACAGCAAACTCCCAGCTAGTAGTGCACACACAAACACACACACACACACTGAGTTTGCATATGAATCCCATGGTACACTGCTGCATACAGTTTATAAAGTTTAGCAGCTGCTTTAGACTGCTAGTTATTAAAGAATCAAGATATGATGAAAATAGTTTATAAGTTTTCAAAGAGGGATAGTAACTGGAAGCAATATTAGTGTTACGTGCTAAAGATATTGAAGATTACCAGATGTTCTAATGTAGTATATCACTTCAGCTAAAATATAATAATAATAATAAATCATATCTCAGTTCTTGTGAACTTTCAAATGTCTTGTGAAACAAATCCATGTATCTGGCATTCATTTTATTTCCTGAATTTTAATAACAGTTTAGAAGTGCAGGCCAATTACATTCACCAAGTGCAGGATATCCTGCGGCTGAAATTCAAGAATGGGTTGAAAGTGTAAGCTGCTCATCATCTTTGAATCTAAGTAATAGCACTTTGTAACCTTAAGTTGTTCATGTAAGCTCTGGTTCATCTAAGGTGGTGACATTTTGTAACTATAAGCTACTCAAAGCTCTGAATCTAAGGTGATGACATTTTCTAACTATAATCTGCTCATCACAGCTTTGAATCTAAGTAATAGCACTTTGTAACCTTAAGTTGTTCATGTAAGCTCTGGTTCATCTAAGGTGGTGACATTTTGTAACTATAAGCTACTCAAAGCTCTGAATCTAAGGTGATGACATTTTCTAACTATAATCTGCTCATCACAGCTTTGAATCTAAGTAATAGCACTTTGTAACCTTAAGTTGTTCATGTAAGCTCTGCTGAATCTAAGGTGGTGACATTTTGCGACTATAAGCTACTCAAAGCTCTGAATCTAAGGTGATGACATTTTCTAACTCTAATCTGCTCATCACAGCTTTGAATATAAGGTAATAGCACTTTGTAATTTTAAGCTGCTCATCAAGGCTCTAAATCTAAGTTGGTGACCTTTTGTAACTATAAGATTCTCACCACAACTCTGAATCTAAGTGATGACATTTTATAACTATAAGTTGCTCATCATAGATTTCAATCTAAGGTGATGGCACTGATGGTACATTGAGCATCAAGAATGAAGTGAAGAACAATGGGAGATTATCATGTGGTGTGACAAATTCCCCTATCCAATGTTTGCTTTATAAAGATGGACAGACCTCTAAGAATGTGTTTTGGAATATGTGTGTAACAGCAAGATATTCATGTTTTTTTTGGTTTTATAGAATTTTCTTGCGAAGCTACACAAGGGTTATCTATGCATGGCCCTCTCTAATTCTGAACCAATCAATTAGAAATAAGGCATCTAGTCAATAGCATCCACCATCAACTCTTGGGCTTCTCTTATCTAACCAAATAATGAGACTTGTCCATCACTATTATAAATGTTCCTACACTCCTAAATTGTGGAGCACATTTTTAGAGCAATGGAACATACACTCTCTGTTTCACTGTCCTGGTACTTTAACCACTACACAATGCTCAATCTCTCAACTAAACCTGTTAGCAACTAAGCAGACTGTAATTAATGTCAAAGGTAATTCACTTTCTCTGAAACATGCAATCTCTTCTTCCAAAGATTTGCTGTCCAAAAACTTATAGTAATAACATGTAGGTGTGAATAGCTGCCATATACTCTAAGTTTCAAGTTTTTAATCCTCATTAACTTCTACTAATAACAAAATGAACATGCAGATAAATGCTATAGAATAAAACCTGATTTAGTAAAATAAAATGACATATAAATATCAACATTAACTTCTGAAAAATGTATTTTACTCTCAAACACTTAAGATACTATGGATTATGAATAACAACTACATGTTTATGACATTTATAAGAAAAGGTTAATATGGTAGGTTATGCTTCATTGTTAGTTGTTGTTTTAAAGAATGAATGTTGGTGACAAAGTTTCTCGAAGCTCAAGGTTAGTGTTGACAGACCATGCCACTTACAGTTAATACCTTAGCCCAAGTCTTATCTTCCTTAGATTCAGATCCACCCTTCTCCTCCCCAGCAGAAGCTACCTGGTTGCAAACATTATCTTGAGATATAGGCCTTGTACCACTAATCATGCTTTGAGATTTAATAGATTGTTCTAGGGTGTTACTTACTCCAGGTTTAGAAAACGATAAAAGTTCAGGAATGGAATTCTGAGTTACAAACATTTCGGGATCATTGAGAATTATTCTCGGGAATGAATTAGATAAAGGAACGATGGTGACATTAGTAACATAAGAAAGGCTAAGGGAAGGTGTGATGGGGCTAGCAGGACTAATGCCCAAAATTGGGACATTATCATTACTTTCAGAAAGTCTCTTAGTTATTTCAGAGTCTGTAGTTAAAAAAGTGGTACAAGACTTGGCAGCAGGACACTTATTGGTTGCAGCCATACTGATGGAACGATCCTGTGGAGGTTATGGTACAGAGTTTTCATATTAACATTCATTTATAACAGAGTTATGGAATTTTATCCTTCAAAAAATAATGTTCATCCTGCTTTTAGAATTTCTGATATTTACTTTATCTTTTGTGGATATATATATATATATATTTAATTTACTTGCTGTTAATTTTTCAAGTGAAAGGAAAACTCAATCAACCTGCTTAATGGCAGTCAGTTGACAATCTCATTAAACTATACTCATAATTGCTCAAATATTATTCATAAATTTCACAAAACATTAAAAGAATGATCCATATTAATCTCTAATAGTTAATTTATTATCAGTCAAAAAAAGTAAAAAAGTATGTGATAATATGAAAGTAAATAATCAAAATAATCAAAAAAGTTATGACAAATACCAAAAAAGTCTAACAAAAGAAAACACAGAACATACTTTAACTACTACTGTAAATAAATATGAATTATTCTAGCATTGTATTTATTCACATACCAACTCAATACAATTTATATTCTGGACTCAAGAACAGTAATGGTTAAAATGTGTACTGTACATCAGATATTTGTTTCCATTATTTTTCATTTATTTATTATACTTTATTATTATGAGAATCATTTTACATTGTTAGCTTAATATGTGACTTAAGGACTAGCTTAAATCTTCTAAGCTGGATAAGTCTTATGAAATATTATTGGCATTATGTCCAAAAGTATTATAACAGTGATGGTATCTAACTGATGAATCAAAGGATTCAAATAATTTTTGTTTTATGACACTGTAATACATAAATACTACAATCCTTATTCTTCTATATTATATATATTTCCTACCTATACAATTTTTAAATTTTTGTAATTTCTGACTTAGAGCATCTAAGTTACTTTTAATTATCTTTAGTTTATAAAGCAATAGCCCTAATACTACAAACAATCATTATTTCAATCGGCCATTCTTCTGCTTATGATCTAAATAAGACATTTCATACAAACTTCATCACTGTGTCATATCTCTGATTTTACAGGCAACAAATCATTACAGCTGTTCTTCTGCATATGAGACCTTGAATCTCTTGTTTTTAGGAGATCAAGTGGGGGGGGGGTCTGAATCTGATTGAGGTGTTTAAGATTGTAAAGGGAATTGATAGTGTTGATGCATTATCTTTTTCATATTTAACAATGAGAATAGTAGGACTATGGGACACAAGTATAAATTTTGGCAAGATAGGTGTCATCTTCAATTAAGACAGTTTCATTTTTCTAACAGGGTGGTTGGCCTTTGGAATGGGTTGTATCCCGGATGTTGTAGAGGCAGTAAATTTAAGTGAGTTTAAGAAAAATCTTGATAAGTATATGAATGATAAGGGCTGGATTTAAGATTTTTTTATAATTATTTTAATTTAGTTTAGAGGATGGAACAGCCACGATGGACCAATAGGTCCCATATTGTCCCAAAATATTATGTTACTACAACATAGCTTACTCCTAGTGAGACTGTCATATATTAAATTAGCAATGTGTTTACTAGGTTCATATTTATTTCTGATTTATATTTGTATCTTATTTTGGTCAGAAATCACTGACACAAGAGCACAGAATAAAGTCTAAAAACAAGAGGGAAATAATTATTCAAATAAAACTTAGTTTTATATATGACTGAGTATGTTATATTAAAACAATTTTGAATATACAAATCAGATGTCATGTGACAAACAGCAAATATAAAGTCTAAAAACAAGGGGGAAATAATTATTCAAATAAAACTTAGTTTTATATATGACTGAGTACGTTATATTAAAACAATTTTGAATATACAAATCAGATGTCAGGTGACAAACAGCAAATATAAATTCACAATGAACAGTGTGTTTTATACTACATTTTAACATTGTTTGGAATTTTATAGGTAGGGTGATGTTACCAAAAACTGGTCAATTTTGGAAAGGATTTGTAACAGTCCTTTTTGACACAATTATTCATACACTCAGATCATAAAGACTGGCCGAGATAAGAGATTTAGAATTTAAGATGATTATTCCCCTTGTACTCAATAACATTGCAAAACAAAAGAATACAGTTCAACTTGAGGCACCAGGACAACCCATAAAAACCTGCAATAAGTCATACTCCAGCTATGGTAAGCAAAGTCTTGTAGCAGATGAAAATCTACAAACACAAAAGTCGGTGGCAAAAGCAGTTTGTGTGTCTTAGGCAACAGTACGCAGCACAATAAAGGTGGATCCCCAAGTGAAAATGAGACCAACATGGTTCAGGTTCACCTAGATAAGTGTTCCATTCATACCTCCCATTGAACCATTCCATACCCGAAGTAGAGAAACAATTAAATGGGTATTCATAGCAGTCACATCACCAGATGCAGTGCCTATAGATTTCTGTGTGACTAATAAGCACTAGGAAACTGTCATCCTTGAACACTAGATGGATTAGGGAGAGCAGCAGGGAAAAAAGGTATGCTTTAGACTTGACAGCCTTATAACAGATCCTTTTGCAATAAAAATATACTGCAAGGCTATTTTCAAGATGCACTGTCATTAGATGGAGCATGACCAGATGTGATGACATTGACTAATAATGTAAGGCTCCAGAATACTTTTGATATACCAAACCAAACCATTTGTTGTATTCATTTCAATTCTGCAATGAATTTTTAGAATTTGTAAAAAAAAATATAATCTCCAATTAAATCTCATTGAATGTCTACATTTTTTGCTATTATTATAATATTTAAATTCATGTTATATTTTATTTTATGATTAGTCATAGTATGCCATGCACAAGTGAGATTCAGAGTAACTGCAATGATCACTAGCTATATCTCTAAAAATACCGAATTATAATCAAATACAATGCTTACTAATTGTTAACAGATGGAAAATGTTTTACCCAAAGGATTTCTTGTGCAACACAAGGAAAACTGGATTACTTATTTTAAAGGAAAGCTACTACAAGTTTTAAAAGTTATAAATGATATTCTGATGAATATTTATGATACATATACTTGTTTCAGAGTAAAAGAAGAATATTTTGAAATACTCTGACCTCAAATATCATTCATAGCTACAGATTTTATTACTGTAATCTCACTCTTTGCACATCCTATGCTGACCATTAGCTTGGCCATTTTACTTTTAACTTTTAATAATATAAATGAAACATTACTTGACCATGCCTGGCCCTTTTATTAATTTTTTGCTTGTCTCATCAATCAAGGTTAACATTTAACAGCAAATTACATTATTAATTACCTGTACATACTAAGCAGTTACAGGTTGACTGATAGGTGTTCAGTACTCTAACATCAAAACTAGGCATGTTTAGAAACTTTTGAATGGACACAGGTGAACATGAGGGAAAAAACAGCAAACAACAAGGAGCTACAAAAGAAGCTACTGGCTCACCATTTATTTGCATAACTGAATTCCTATAAAACAACACAGGGCATATATGCAAGCCTTCTTTTCTCTCTTGGATGCCTTTAAAGCATTTTTTAAGTTGCTGTTTTTGTTGTGATAACAAATAACTCTCAAATGCATATATATTTGTATCATATTTTTATTTAAGCAACTGCAAACTATTTCTCAGTTAGCTGGCCAGCTTTTACAAACCCACTTTTATCCTATAGCATGACATACACAAATAAGTCATTTGACAGGACTATTTCTTGTAAGAAAGGATTTCGCACATTTCAGGGAGTATATTCCAAATGACCAAACAGATACAGTTCTAACTGCAAAATCTTAAACAATTTTATAATTGCAATGTACGAGGCCAATGATAATGTCAAACGGAATTTGCATGCATGAGGAGGATGTATTTTAGTTGTTTATTTCAAGTTATTAGCAAAATAATCCATAAACTGAGATTTAAGTAGCTCACAAGCTCATTAACATCTTTCTAAGTATTTATGCTTGTATATGCTGGTGTTCCAAATGATCACCCAAAACACATGTTCTCATAAACTAAGGAACATTTGGCAACATTTTGAAGGTATGGTACATCCAGATTGGTCCATTAACAAGTACTTACCATAGAGAAGAAAGAAGTCAAGTTACATGAAGTGGGAGTGGGTGAGCTAGTTTCTTCTCCACTGTTAGTGCATGCATTCCTAGTGAAAAAAAAAGTTTTACATAAATGACTGTCACTATCAAATACGTAGTACAAAAAAAATGTCAATCTTTTTAAGATATTAACAAATTAATCCTTTAGAAAATACAAAGTAAAATGAATATGCAAAATCACTTAATATAACCAGGAAAATAAACCACACAATTATTTTTTTTTAACCCATTTGTTCTTGGCTCATAACTCTTTTTTAAACTTTAACATCAAATGTATGCATTTCATAGTCTAATTTATCCCAACTTATAACTTCATTCCTATTGTTAATTCATATCCAAACATTTTTTTGCCAAGTAATTCATGACTGGATGTTCTAGTTTCACTCATATATATATATATACACACAAATATATAATTTTTCTCCAAAAGCTATGCTATATCAAGGTTGTAAAATAGTTCATCCGGCTACAATGGATAACCCATTACAAAAACAGCTTCAATCAGTACCTACCACTTGTCCTCTTCATTTCTTGTCAAGCTGTTTTTCAGTTTTCCATTATAATTGCAATCACTAAAAACATGTGACAAAAGCTGAATAAAAAGCTGGAACAAGACTGCTTATAAACTTCCCATACCAATTAAAACAGTGTCATGAATAATTTTATGTGTAGTAATATTAATATTCTGAACTAGACTGTGAACTCATCCAAACAGCTGCTATTAGCAACAAATAAACCTAAAATTTGTGATAAAAATCACACTAACTGTAGATATGTTATTTTTCTTTACTACATTACTCTGAATATGTAGATTGTGGACCAAATATCAGAGACATGTAAAAATAGCATTCCAGATCTCTCTTTTGTCCTCCTCTCCCTATAATTCACTTCTAAAGAAGTCTTTCATTCAATACCAGAACTACTCAGTCAAATTAAAAAACATATGAAAAAAAAAAAAAGATTTGCAGTTAACACTATCTTTATCACAAAATTTAGGCTTATTACTTTCTAATGCTTTGCCAGCTTTCAGGGTTTAAATTGTAGTTACTATTAGCATTGTCACTATTATCACTTCTTGATTAAAGCTTTAGTGAATTATTAGAAATTTAAACTAGCATAATAGTAATGTAAAATTAACTGAGCTGGCTTGTTAACATAACACCACAAATACATTTTTACCATTGAAACTATAAGGATTAGTATTATTATGTTTAAATAAAAATAAAATGTATTTTGTACTTTGACCTAAATGGACTACAATGTTAATGCAGAAACAACAATAAACTGTATTCTTTTATTAAAACCATATAGAGTAGACATCATACTTTGAAAAATAAACTGTTTTAACATGTGAACTGCCAGGATTATGTTGTTGTATGATTATAAATAAAATGCTCTTAACCACAAGGACTATGATATTAGTAGGTTAATATATATTATTATTCTGTACTTTATCATTAGATATATCTGGATTAGCATGTTATTGTAGAACTAAAATAGACTGTATTTTACCATTTTCAATTCAGTTATTCAGTGCAGTGAGCATACTTGTAATTTTAAGCCTATTTTTGACCAATAAAAGTGGTATGAATTCCCCAATTTCTGTATACAATTTAAATAAGGTTGTGCATTCACAATGAACCCAACTAGCAGGGGGATTTTCTCAAATCTCACCTTTTGTTTTGAATACAAATGATAAAAAAACTGGTCACAGAAAATATGGAAAGTCCAAAAGATAATTTTCATTTAAGCTTCAAACAAAATGGCAAATATGACATTAAAAAGTAGCCAATGCTACTTTCTTAAACTGTTATATAATCACATCCAAACTGTGATAATGGTGAAAATTCTTGTTTGTTTCCACAGAAACTACTAAAACTTGCCCATCTTTTAACAAATTTGCTTTTAACTAATTATTTCAAATAAGAAAAAGCTATGAAACAAAAGTTAATCAGTTCAAAAACAATATATGCTAAAACATATACTTATGATACACAATAGTATGCAGCAGACTTACAACATGGGATTGGATTAAATGAATAATTTTGTAAATAGCTTATTTTCTCTGTGTGTGAATGATGACTTACATCTCTCAGTAAAAGTTAAATAGCAGCACTTTGAAATACAAAAGTGGCATGGTATATCACAGTACAAATAGAAGGTGAAACAAACATGATTTATTTTCATAAAAAATTGTCTGAAAACACTTCTCATATTAACACAAAACTGAGAAAAAGCACTAAATTTAAATTTCTCATGGCTAAGGTAAATTATCATAGCAGTTTGGGTCTAAAGAGTTAATGTACCTTAAACCTGATCATATTATTGCAACCATATCAAGGTGGAAAATCCCATAAGTATCCTTGGATGATTAAGCATTGACTCACAAAGCAAAAAATTAAAGGGAAACTACATCACATATTTTTAGGACTAATTAAAATGTTTTTTTAAAAGAGTGGCCATAAAATTTACTTATTTTCTACATTAATCAATAAAGACAGGTTATGTAGAAAACAAAAAGATATTCAAGCCAGCCCATCTTCACACTAACATTATAAATAAAAACAAGGTGACATTCTATATCAATTCCTGCAAGTTATAAGTTGTTAGTTTAGGAAAAACAATTAAGTGATTGCATGGGAAGATTTAGGTAATTACTAATATTTATTACGTATATAGTGATATTTCTGACCTTTATTCACAAAACTGAACACTCGAAGCATTTCCAATGATAACCTTTACTTACCTTTAAAATTTTCATACTGTTATGTCTTATTAGGTATAGCTCAGTTACTGTTTACTTTAACCCATACCATAGCTTTTGCAGCAATACTCTTTTTGTTTGTGTTAATGTGTAAACAAAATTTTCCTTGAAGTGTTTTAGCTGAAAATTGTGAAGATAATTATTTTACTTACAGTGAAGGATATCATAAGATGTGTGTGTGTCTATATATACACACACACACACACACACACACACATATATATATATATATATATATTATAGTATTGTTACGTCTCCGTTTGTTAATTAACTTTCCGTAACTTCGTTCCGACGTAAACTTTAG